TGTTGTTGTGCTGCCACGCCCCCGGCTGACATAGGGCAATGAGCAGGTTCTGATCGCCGACTTTTCGCAGTCTGCTTCATTCCCCCAAGAGCCTGCGCGGCCCTTTGTTACCCGGGCGACGACCTAGCTGGTATAATCTTCGATTACGTCAATACCATGAAGGGCAGATGGCAAAATTTTACGGAGACTTCACTACGGACTCCTACCCTTCTCCTTTCTCAACCGGGCTTGGGGCTGACGGGGCTCAGTTCTATTTCTATTGTTAAATGAAAAAATCTGTTTAAAGGAATGAATTTTTTTGGCTTTAGTCAAAAATTAGTGCATACCTCCAGCGCCATGGAAGAGTTATTTTAAAGATATCTACTACTTCAGATTTGTAATTCGTTTTTAAGCAGTCATTTGTGATGTGATGACATGCGATAGACCTGGTGGCTAAAGATAACGTATCTGTAATTAGCCATGTCCAAAATGAAAAATTGGAAATGCAGAATAAATGTTATGCCTTGGGGAATGGTACAAGACTTGAGCAAAACTTTGACACAGTTATAGGATTATGATAACCAGTACAATCTCCACTGCAGGCGTACCCTTCCTTTTCCTCAAATCCTAGTGGGTCTCCATCCTCTAGTTGACCTTGACCTCTGTCCGTAATGACATTTCAAAATGAAGTACAGGTGATTCTTCTTCAATCGCTACATGAACTATGAAAGCTTTACCGAAACCATGATACGTTGGCTTGCGCAGCTAAAAGTTAGCCCTGACGCCTTCGTGCTTTTCACCATCGAAGGCGTCTTTCTGACTAGATGAAGAGCAGGCAGGCTGAAAGTACGCACAGGCATGAGGGTAATGCTTATGTGTGAAAGTAATATTGTATTCAGAAAAATTCCTTGTCCTTCCAGCCAGCCAGTTTTGATGACCGTTTATTCTTTCGATCCACAGTTGTCAGGTTGATTTCATAACGAACAGCAGCTATATATTGCTCTCGCGGAAATGAGTTGAGTGGTTCCATCTCGCAACTTTCCAAACATAATTAAGAACTAGTTATGCCCGCTATTTCAGCAGTCAGTACTACGAGAGTTTAAGTTGCGTGTTGCACATTAGAATGATTGTTTCTTGTCGGGCGAAGATAAATCAGACGATTGCTGCTTTACGACCCGTCGGTACAAACTCGATGTGCTCGCGGCCACGAGATCTCGCCCCCCCCCCTCCTCAAAGAAAGAGGACACCTGACCTGCATGATGGATAGATTTTCGTGATCAAGCAATGATGGATCACGTCGTGCCGTTGTGGATATCCTCTTGTACTGAGAGTTATCCATGCGGTCATTTCTGCGCAATAAGTGTCCGAGAGAATCCTAACCTGTCGCGTGGATGCCAAACAGGTGACGCCGAATGTCGTTGTCGTATGTGCCCCAACAAACGTATTCATGGACAGCAACAACGACGCCTTTTATCACAGCTTGCGGTCGGCAGTTAGCGCTTCGTCACGACGTTGCAGTTATCACTGGCGCCCTGAGCGCGAAAGTAGGGTCTGAGTGCAGCACTTCGTTTGGCGTACTCCATCCTCATGGTAGTGACAGCACAAATTAAAACGGCAGGCGTTTGTTGAGCTTTTGGATGACAAACAGCTTTAGAGTAAGACCTTATTCCCTAATAAGCGAATACAATAAACCACGATCGAAGCCTTAGCATCCAACTGGACCACTTCCTCATCAACCGCAAATGGCAATTGTCGTTACACGCGATACGCTCATCGCTTTGGTTGCGCCCGACAGTCCTACCCCTGTCAACGTGACAGGCGACAAAAAGCAGCCTCGGCGAGACCAGCCGCTGAAGGATCTTTACGCCATTACTCCAGCTTAGTTCCGAAACGAACATGTTAACAGGATGAGCTAACTCCCGCAATTTTTAAGCAGTCTGGCATAAAGTGAATATTTGTTTACGGGTGCTTCCAGAACCTGACCAGAAACCAAGCTGTTATTCTTGTATGTCAGAGGCAGCTATTCCGCGAAAATTTTTTTCTAGCGGCTTTGCGTAGATCCGGGAGGCTCATTTAGGTAATGCCACGATAATTGAAGCACCCTCTATAGTCTCCTTTCTTGAACAGAGATTAAACCACTATTCTCTATTCCCTTACCGTCTTTTCCATAACCACTGTAGTTGGTCGCTACACGTTAATCACAGCGTTCTTTTTGGCCTAGAGTTACACACACTTCCAGTAGGATTTCGTCGATTGAAGCTGCATTGCCACTTTTCAGACTTCATCTGCTGAAAAACTAATATACGTTAGTTGCTAGTCTTCAGGGAGTCTTCCTGCAGTTGCTCGTAGTCAAGAATTTCCTGAATGTACTTCTACCGTGGTAGAAGTATTTTATCTTCTTCGGTTAGAAGGCTTCTGCCCTTGTTCTTCTGGAATCTCAGACTGCCCTTCATTACATCTTGCAGACAGTGGATGGTCTGCCTGAATATCTTGTTTGGCTGTAGGAATTCAACTCTAGCGCCGCACTAAACTTTACCC